TACTATAAATTACAGAAGGCCCTGCAGAAGAAGATGCTTTCTTTCCTGTCAGTCACATTAAGCCTTTCCAGTATTGTCATTTTTGTCTGCTAAAATAAGAATTGTAAAGGCAGTGTCTGCAGGGATAAAGGGGAGTTTAAACTCACAACTCTTCCTTTTCATATGCCTTTTCCACATTTATACCAAGTGAGAAGGATGGTATCACATATTTTACTTCAGGAAAACAGCTTTTTGACAAAGCTGTCTTACTTCTTACTGAAGTTATTTCTTTACTTTGTTCCATTGAAAAGGCCTATCTAGTTAATACTCTCCAGTTAATATTAACATGAATAATGGAAAGGAAGTGAAAGGAAAACTAGTTTTGTCTAAATCATTTTAAGCAATGCTTCTTCTCCTCAGAGCCTCACATTTCTGCAGTTGTGACTAAAGAGGAAGCTGGTACTCCCAGTTGGCCTTACCTTTAAATTTGTTTCTGAATGTAAAGTGTCATAAGTTCTGTCTTTATATTTCAGCCATTACTCTGAACCTGCATTAACCTGATTTTGGATAGTCTTTTAGAACTAGTGTGAGTCAATCCACAGCAATAATACTTAACCTTTATTAAACATACTACCTTTTCTGGTACTGTGTTAGATACTTTGCATGGATTATTTCATTTAATGATACACTAAAGTCCAGTGATGTGTATTTTTAGTCCCATTTTACAGATGGGAGTAAAAATGGGAAGAAAACAAAGATTTAGAAAGTAGTCTAAGAGTCCCACAACTCAATGGTAGAATTGGAGCTCTCACCCAGTCTCCAGTGATATTCAGTATGTTATACACCTTCTTTCCACTAATGTGTGTTAATTTACCGTATTAGGAGCCCTGTTGTTGTTCAGTCGCTCACTTGTGTCGGACTTTGTGACCCCATGGACTGCATCATGCCAGGCTTCCCTGTCCTTCACCATCTCCCAGAGTTTGTTCAAACTCATGTCCCTTGAGTCGGTGATGCCATCCAACCATCTCATCCTCTGTTATCCCCTTCTCTGCCTTCAATCTTTTCTAGCATCAGGGTCTTTTCCAGTGAGTCAGCTCTTTGCATGATGCTTCACCTTCAGCATCACAGTCCTGCCGGTGAATATTCAGGGTTGATTTCTTTTAAGATTGACTGGATGGATCTCCTTGCAGTCCAAGGGACTCTCAAGAGTCTTCTCCAACACCACAGTTTGAAAGCATCAGTTCTTCGGCGCTCAGCCTTTATTATTATCCAGCTCTCACATGACTACATGACTACATGTCATCCCTACATGACTACTGAAAAAACTACACAGAACTTTGTAGCAAAGTAATGTCTCTGCTTTTTAATACACTGTCTAGGTTTATCATTGTCTTCCAAGGAGCAAGTGTCTTTTAATTTTGTGGTTGCAGTCACTGATGAGTGATTTTGGAGCCCAAGAAAATAAAGTCTGTCACTGCCATTGTTTCCCCACCTTAATCTTTAGTTCCTCTTTGCTTTCTGCCATAAGGGTGGTATCATCTGCATATCTAAGATTATTGATATTTCTCCCAGCAATCTTTATTCCACCTTGTGCTTCACCCAGCTCAGCATTTTGCATGATGTACTCTGCATGTAAGTTAAACAAACAAGGTGACACTATACAGCCTTGATGTACTCCTTTCCCAATTTGGAACCAGTTTGTTCATTGTTCCATGTCTGGTTCTAACTGTTGCTCCTTGACCTGTGTACAGGTTTCGCAGGAGGCAGGTAAGGTGGTCTGGTATTTCCATCTCTTGAAGAATTTTCCACAGTTTGTTATGATCTACACAGTCAAAGGCTTTAGTGTAGTCAGTGAAGCAGTTCAGTTCAGTTCAGTTGCTCAGTTGTGTCCGACTCTTTGCGACCCCATGGCCTGCAGCACTCCAGGCTTTCTTGTCGATGAGTTTACTCAAGCTCATGTCCGTCGTGTTGGTGATGCCATACAACCATCTCATCCTCTGTCGTCCCCTTCTCCTCCTGCCTTAATCTTTCCCAGCATCAGGGTCTTTTTCAATGAGTCAGTTCTTTGCATCAGGTGGCCATAGTATTGGAGTTTCAGCTTCAACATCAGTCCTTCCAATGATTATTCAGGACTGATTTCCTTTAGGATGGACTGGTTGGATCTCCTTGCAGTCTAAGGGACTCTCAAGAGTCTTCTCCAACACCACAGTTCAAAAACATCAATTCTTCAGTGCTCAGCTTTCTTTATAGTCCAACTCTCACATCCATACATGACTGCTGGAATAACCATAGCTTTGACTAGACGGACCTTTGTTGCAAAGTAATGTCTCTGCTTTTTAATATGCTGTCTAGGTTGGTCTGGAGAAGGAAATGGCAACCCACTCCAGTATTCTTGCCTGGAGAATTCCAGGGACAGTGGAGCCTGGTGGGCTGCCGTCTATGGGGTCACACAGAGTTGGACACAACTGAAGCGACTTAGCAGTAGCAGCTAGGTTGGTCATAACTTTTCTTCCAAGGAATAAGCATCTTTTAATTTCATGGCTGCAGTCACCATCTGCAGTGATTTTGGAGCCCAAAAAAATAGTCTGTCACTATTTCCCCATCTATTTGCCATGAAGGGATGGGACCAGATGCCATGATCTTAGTTTTGTGAATGTTGAGTTTTAAGCCAACCTTTTCACTTTCATCAGGAGGCTCTTTAGTTCTTCTTCGCTTTCTCCCACAAGGGTGGTGTCGGCTGCATATCCTGGCAGTCTTGATTCCAGCTTGTGCTTCCGCCAGCCCAGCATTTCTCATGATGTACTCTGCATATAAGTTAAATAAACAGGATGACAGTATACAGCCTTGACGTACTCCTTTCCCGATTTGGAACCAGTCTGTTTTTCCATGTCCAGTTCTAACTGTCGCTTCTTGACCTGCATACAGATTTCTCAAGAGGTAAGTCAGGTGGTCTGGTATTCCCACCTCTTTCAGAATTTTCCACAGTTTATTGTGATCCACACAGTCAGAGGCTTTGGCATAGTCAATAAAGCAGAAATAGATGTTCTTCTGGAACTCTTGCTTTTTCAGTGATCCAGCGGATGTTGGCAATTTGATCTCTGGTTCCTCTGCCTTTTCTAAAACCAGCTTGAACATCTGGAAGTTCACGGTTCACGTATTGCTGAAGCCTGGCTTGGAGAATTTTGAGCATTACTTTACTAGCGTGTGAGATGAGTGCAATTGTGCGGTAGTTTGAGCATTCTTTGGCATTGCCTTTCTTTGGGATTGGAATGAAAACTGACCTTTTCCAGTCCTGTGGCCACTGCTGAGTTTTCCAAATTTGCTGGCATATTGAGTGCAGCACTTTCACAGCATCATCTTTCAGGATTTGAAATAGCTCAACTGGAATTCCATCACCTCCACTAGTTTCGTTCATAGTGATACTTCCTAAGGCCCACTTGACTTCGCCTTCTAGGATATCTGGCTGTAAGTAAGTGATCATACCTTTGTGATTATCTGGGTTGTGAAGATCTTTTTTGTACAGTTCTTCTGTGTATTCTTACGACCTCTTAATATCTTCTGCTTCTGTGAGGTCCATATCATTTCTGTCCTTTACTGTGCCCGTCTTTGCATGAAATATTCTCTTGGTATCTCTGATTTTCTTAAAGAGATCTCTAGGCTTTACCATTCTGTTGTTTTCTTCTGTTTCTCTGCATTGTTCACTTAAGTGTATCTTTCCCTTTCTCCTTTGCCTTTCGCTTCTTTTCTCAACTATTTATAAGGTCTCCTCAGATAACCATTTTGCCTGCTTTATTGTAAATATCATTTACTGACTTGAATAAACAATCCCTTAGAAGTTACTGCTGTGTTGCTCATGTCCTGTTAACAGAAAAAGGTGGTTTTATCATCAAGGAATTAAAAAGGAGGAAAATTATTTTTGATGAAATTCTTGACATAGAGACAATATATTTAAAACATACATCTGGCCTGGAACTCAGAAACACTGTGTGTAATTTAGTTTCCTGACTTAATGCTCTGAGGCCTCCTCTGATCGTTGTGATAGGCAGGTAGTTTTACCTCTTGGAATGCCTTTTTTTTTTTTTAAAGTACCAGCCCTTGAAAAATAAGATGATAACTCACTCTAATACTTTGTGGAGGATGTAAAACCCTGGAGGTAAACTTTTTCCTTAAGGGGAAAAAAAAAATACCTCTATATATTTAATGATTTCAAATTGTTTGAATTTAATGGTTTTATTGTTTGTAAAATAGATGCTTTGTCTATATAATGACCCTTAACTTTAAAATGAAAAAACGGAGTAATGGATTTGAGTCAGTATTTAAATAAATACTTACTTACATAGGTAGCTTATAATAATAGCTAATCATATATCTGTTAATTTTAGCTATACCGCCTTTTTTTCAGTGCTTTGCATAGATCAGTTACTTTAATTCTCACAACTCCATTAAATGTATGTTTAATCATGTGATTATTAGATTATTATCTGCCTCCCACACTGGGTGGTAAGCTCTGTAGAATCAGAAACCATTTCTGATTCTGTTTACCAGTGTTCACTCCATGCACAGAGCTGACCATACAGTAGGGCTTAAATGTTGAGTGAATGAATGAATGAAATGAATTCTTAATAGCTAATACTGATTACCTTGTGATAGTGATGCTTTCTCTGAAGTATTAAAATACATGTCATATGATTTAAACTCAACATTTTTTCTTTGCTGGTCACATCTTAACATGATGGTGATTAAAATTCCTTAGAAATAAAGCACAGTAATATATTTCATTACATTTAGCATTTTTTGTTTGTTTGTTTTCAGCTTGACTAATGGTTTGAATTGAGGTCATACTGTGTGCTAACCATTGTGCATAATTTAATTTCAAGTTCTTGGTTGCTTGTTTCACTTTGCAGGAAATGTAATCCTTTGATGAAACCCTTGTATATTTAAGAAAGTAAAGATAGCAGATGCCTTATTTCTCTTCTTCAGTCTACCATCCTTACGAATACTGTTTTCATTTGGCTTCTAAGGGAGAAGATGTCAACCGGACACTAGAAGGTGGAAGAAAGCCTCTTCATTATGCAGCAGATTGTGGACAGCTTGAAATCCTGGAATTTCTGCTGCTGAAAGGAGCAGATATTAATGTATGTAAAGAATATTATCATTCTAGAAAACAGTTCCTGTTGTTATGCTTTTGGGTAGTTGTTTTCAGTAGATTTGTAAAATAGTTACTGGTGGAAACCTCATGTGAAGTAAGAATATAGTCTGAAATTTTGCCAAATTTCTGTAGCTTAGAAATATATGATTGTGATTTTTTTTTTTTAAATAAGCAAGAACAAGTTTATTTTTTTAAACTGATAAAACTGGTGGGTGAGAGGCATGGATAGATGGTTCATGCTTCCTTTTCATGTTCTAAAGCAGTTTGAGAGTTATCACTATCTGTAGGTGGCAAATGGCTATCACCCAATGGAGGGTAGACCCTGTAGTCATACGAAAAATCTAAAAGTGGATTTTTGGACAACAGTCAGGCAGCAGTTATCTCTTGATTCTTGCCTTTTGTAGCTTCTGCATTTCAGAGTTTCAGAAAAATGTTTAACCTTAACAGCAAGTGTGATGAACTTTTCGCATCTCAGGGACTGCCATGTCACCTGATCCCATTGTGGGCATCTGTTACCTCTTCACACTGGCATGCCTACAGTAGTGGGGAGTTGAGGCTCAGAGAGATTAAGTAACTAGTCACACAGTTAAGTGCCAGAGTCCAGATCTGAGCTGGGGTCAAAGTCCTGCTCCCTCTGTTTCACTGTACTGACTTCTAAGGAGAAACTGCTTGTGGGCCTACCCCTCTGTCAGCTCTATAAGAAGCTAAAAATGGGAGAACATTGATTTTCAATTATTTACAAGCATTCACTAATGATCTGGAGAGAAGGAAAAAATGAAAAATGGATAAAGTGATCTATATCTCATTCTTTCATAGGCCCCAGATAAACATCATATCACACCTCTTCTGTCTGCTGTCTATGAAGGTCATGTTTCCTGCGTGAAATTGCTTCTGTCAAAGGTGAGGTCAATTGCTGATTTTTATTGCTTTTTCTATTATTTTTTAACTGTTCAAGCTAAGTAATTGGTTATTAATTTACTTAAATTTTGTGTGGTATCAGGAACAGGAAAATTAGAGATAACAGCCAAAATTGAAGTCTAGAGCAATGTTGCTCAAAAGAGCTGATTCAGATGCTATTAGCAGTTCTTGTAAAGAGGCGGGGCTAGAAAATAAGTCAACACAGTCTCCTTCATCAAGAGTATCTTGCAGTTTTTTTAAAAAGTTAGCTGAACTAGACTTTGTACTTAACACAAAAAATGTTGTCCTGTGCTAGTAACAGTTTGCAGACTGGTGCCAGATTCACATACCACAGTTTGAATAACTTTGCCTTTGACATTTGTAAACTTCTTTGTCTGTAGTGATTTTTCTGAGCAAGATTATTGAGGCAGATTGCTGTAAGGGCTCTACCAGTCATTTGGTTTCTTAGTGTGATTGAGATCATGGTACATTTGGAGTTTTCCAGTGTTTTGTCTTTGATTACAAACTCTCAAATGAAAGTCAGAGTCCAGCCTTAGAAATTGACTAGTCAGTTGCAACCACTCTAGCTGTATTAGATGGAAGCTGCACATGTTGGAAGACAAGAAATCGTCATAAAATAAGGCACTCACAGTAATCCCAAGATTATCCTTCATGGCCATATTCTGGAAAGTGTCCATAATGTTTAATTTGGAATTTTCAAATAAGTCCTGCTAAAAGAAGCAAGAAAGAATTAGAAATAAAATGAGTAAATATATTTGAAGCATTTTGCACAGTACCTGACATATAATAATAGTCAATAAATAGTAGCTTTTATTATGTTTAAGACTAAAGAGGATTTTATGCTTCATAGATTCAGTAGGATTTGGAGAACACTGGGAAAGAAAGTAGTTCTTTTTTTTTTTTTCCATTTATTTTTATTAGTTGGAGGCTAATTACTTTACATCATTACAGTAGTTTTTGTTATACATTGAAATGAATTAGCCATGGATTTACATGTATTCCCCATCCCAGTCCCCCCTCCCACCTCCCTCTCCACCCGATCCCTCTGGGTCTTCCCAGTGCACCAGGCCCTAGCACTTGTCTCATGTACCCAACCTGGGCTGGTTATCTGTTTCACCCTAGATAATATACATGTTTCAATGCTGTTCTCTTGAAACATCCCACCCTCGCCTTCTCCCAGAGTCCACAAGTCTGTTCTATACATCTGAGTCTCTTTTTCTGTTTTGCATATAGGGTTATCGTTACCCTCTTTCTAAAGTCCATATATATGTGTTAGTATACTATAATGGTAGTACTTTTGTCCCAACACTTTATTGACAACTTTTCAAGGGTACTATCTGAAAGCAGTTAACTCGGGACCTTTAAAATTAGGGGGTTTTACCCATACCTTCAGCACAAATACTGGATTTCTTGAAATGTGTGGTGGTGGTGGTTTTTGGGATGTTTGGGGTAATTTTTAGATATAGTGCTCGCTTTGGCAGCACGTATACTAAAATTAGATATTATATACCATACTGATATAAAAACCCAAAATAAAGGAACACATTATTCTTTGCCACTGTAATGGATCCAGCATCTGTGGTAGGATGTGGTCATGAAGATTTCCAGCCACTGTGTCTTTCTCCTGTCTTCCCATCCCCCACACCCATGTAAAGATTAAAAAGAACCTTTGAGAACTATGGATAATTTCAGCCTTGGGGGAATATTTTTGTATTGTGTTAAAAATTGGTTGTCGCAGGCTACAAATATTAATTTACAATTCATGGAAGATTTATTTAGTTGTAATATTTTATTGGTTAGGACTGTTTATTGCAAGTAACTAGACCAAGCTTAGACAGGCTCAAGCAGTAAAAGAAATCACGTTGACTCACATAGTTCTAAGTCACGGCACAGCTTTTCCGTGGGTTTAAGCCACATGACCAGCATCTGATTTCTTTGTGTGTATCCCTCAGCTCTCTTCCTCAGGGTTGGCTTAATTCCCCCACCTCAATATATCTTCTGAGTGTAGACCAAAAGAAATAGCAATACTGTATTATATTTGAGAGTTGCTTAGATCTTAAAAATTCTCAGAGGAAAAAAATTTTAAACTATGTGAGGTGATTTTTATTTGAACTTATTGGGGTAATCATTTCACAATACATACACATATCATTTTGTTGTATACCCTAAGTTATCATTAGTATTATACTATCAGTTATATCTCAATTACAAATTAATAAGTCAGAATACAAACAAGAAATGAATGACTCCTTCTCCTTCTTTCTCCCTCTTTCCGTGACCTTTTCTACCTAGCCAAGGGTTTTTGTTCTCTGAAAATAAAAACCTCCATGGGATCCTTTTTTAGCTTAGGGCTCTGGTCATTTACCAAATGAGGTACCCCTAAGCCAGCTCTTTATGCCAGATCTCAAACTGTAGATCAGAACTGTATTTCTTTCTGATAAGCCTTTCTTTCCACCTGGGACAAACAAAACAAGAAGTAATTATTCTTAAGATAGCGAGAGCACAGACCATCATTCCATATTTCTTATTCCCAAAACACTATGCTTTAGGTCATTAAGACCTTAAATCTTCTACTTAAATAAGTTCCTGAAAAGCTGGCTTGATTTGAATGTATGATAAGCCATTATATGTTATCCCAGAAGGATCTTTATAGATATGTACTATATTGCTGAATTATCGATTATAAGTTGAGTTTCCTGACTTGAAAGTAGTTTTTAAATTTTATTTGTGCCTGTAATATTGTCCTTTCATTATATCCAAGCCTTAATTTTTGTAGCTAAATAAGTGACATTCAGCGGTGGCTATATTGATGGCAGACCAATTGTAACCATGTAGAGCTGTTATTTTAGATGAAAGATTTTCTTTTTATCTTTTTGAAAGCAACATATTACCTTTCTAAAGCAATGTAATACAATGTAGTGTTGTTTTTCCAAAATTAATTATGTTGATTTTATTTTTGCATAAGCTTCTTAATGGATACCCAGTAGTTCTGTTAACAAAATTTTTAAAGGAGGAAATTGTGCTCTTTGAAAAATCCTTAATTAACTAAAATAAGGCTATTCCAGTGCATTTATTTAAAGTCCAGTCAGAGTTTATATTATGTAATCTGGTTTCTCCTGCTTTTTATCAAAGTTAGAATCCTTATCAATTACTATGAATCTATTTGAAAGTACATAGTTTAGAAGTTTCCAGATTTGTTGACAGCTCTAATATACAACTGATTCTTGAACAACAAAGGTTTGTATTGAACCAGCACACTTATATGCAGATTTTTTTCAGTAGTAAATGCTGAATATACTGCACGATGCATGGTTGGTTGAATCCACAATAATGCGGAGGAACCACAAAAACGAAGAGCCAACTAAAAGTTACAAATGGGTTTTCAGCTGCACAGAGGGTCAACTATATTATTCCACTGGTATATCATTAACATAAGGGAAAAGCCAAAATAATATTTTAAAACTCAGTGTGATCACAAGTAATGGTAAAAACAAAATCAAGCTATGCCATTTACTGGACAATTTTTATTTTAATGCAGTGGAAGATGAAGTTATGACACAAGTAGGAATTTAAGATGTTTAATTCTTTATATTTTCCATAGATGTTAGCTTCCTTTTTTGCTATATGGATAATAATCTTTGTTTATGTAATCTCCAAATACATAAGGTGACCGTAAAGGAAGTTAAACAACTTCCTAAAGTCTAACAGAAAGTGATGGAATCAAGAATTTTTTCCAAGATATGACTCCACACATGTTCTTTCTCCTCCTTGAGAGATCCTTTTCAGACTTATCATCATGGACAGTTAGGAGAAATGATTATATTTCTGCAGGTAAAAGCTATTTGGCCTGATTTTTTATTGTTACACTCATGATTGAAAAAAAAATGTAGAGATCAACACTTGTGAGCCTTTCACTTCAAGACTGAGGTCTGAGCATACGCCAGGGTATCCCCCTTTAATCCTCGGATAATAGAAAAGAGGTTTTTTTAAATAAATGAATCGACATCTGCTTTAGACCATAAGATGGGATTCATGAGACAATAACTTATCCTTGAGAGACAGAAAGCAGGTGAGATGAAGTTGAAGAAGAAAGCGTTCCCTAACATAAGCAAGACTGGACTGTTACAAGGAGGAGTCGATCCAAGGCAGCTCAAAGCCTAGAAGTGGTCAGCACCTTTGAGCAACAAGTGAAGAAACAAGTTAAACCCAAAGGAGAAGACTGAGATGTAAAAAGGAATAAGCAAGAAATTACTGTGTGAATGAAAACAAATATTGAAATATAAAATGAACATGAATGTTTAAAAATATAAGCTAAAACTATAGAACTACTAAATAATACTAAATAAGTTTCAAGGAAAATGAACAAAATTCCTGGTACTCACCAAGTCCAGAGTACATGAGAAACAGTGGTAAAACTGGTGAAAGGAGACAGATGAAACAGATTAAAAATTCGGGCTCCAGAAGCATCCTGGTGAATAAAGTAGTCTCAGGGAGTAAGAAACCCAAGTGAGGGTATAAAACAGAAGTGGCAGCTGCCCCACAGTCACTAAAAAGACCAAACCTGACAGACTTCGACAATGTTATGAAAGCAAAAATAGACCATGTAAGCACCTGTCATCTTAAATTGTAATTATCTCACAGTTGAATAAGATTCCTTTTTCTTTTTTTTGCCTGAAGAAAATCTTAAGAGGAAACTTTTGGAATAAAAGATATTTAAAAGATGTATAAAAATCTGACTAAAATCTCAAATGCCTGAATAATTGTAATGTTTCAGGCACACATTATGTAGAAGAGTTAATCACAAAATGGTGCTCTTGAACTGTTATAGCTGATGGATTCATAAGTCTAAAATTCATTTATTTTTCACAGTTACATATAATTTGACAGCATCTAATTTCTGTGTGGTTAAAGAAACAGTTCTCTGTGAGAAGTAATTGTTTGCCTGTAACATTAATACACTATCAGGCTACACATTTCCTCTA